CTCCTCCCCGCTCTGCGGATGGATGCTGGGGCGCGGGGGCCCGGACTCGCCCCTCGCCCCGGGGGAAGGGGGGGCATGGTCCCGGGCGGTAACCCGACCCGCGGCCGGCGGGACGGGGCGGCGGCATCCTCCTCGTAGGCTAAATCCGTACCGCGGACGGGAGGGGCGGGAATCCGGCCCCACTGCGGCATTCCGCGCCGGGCTAGGGTTTCCTCCGGTGACCTTCCCCGGAGTCGGCCCGGCCGGATTCACGTCAGGACTCCGGCCTCGAAGCCTGGCAGCCTCCCCTCGCCCCCCAGCTCCGATCGCCATAGAGGGCCAGGTGGAAGGAAAACTGCAGACGCATCTCCCCCGATGGAAGCTGTTTGCGCGGCCTGTGGCTCTGTCGGGCCGACAGCCCCCCTCACACGGCCCACGAACATGAGAGACCTGGTCCTGGCGTTCTTTCCTCCCTACACCCGAAGGGTGACATTTTCCTAAAGGTCATTTTGAAGGGCATCCTTGTAGACACATCTCTGAGTCGTGACTGCAGAAGGGAGGGATCAGGGAGGGAGGCAGGGAGGGAGGGAGCTCCCCGCCCTGCGCCACTGCCCCCTCTCCCTTCTCAGGTGTCTCCACCACCTCCAGCACCTCCAGCATCACCACTGCAGTCAGGAAGGGAGCCCTGTTAGGGGCCAGAGCAGCATCTGCTTGGGAGGGTCTGTGGAAACCAGCAGGAGCATGAGTCAGGGAAATCGGGCTTGGCTCACACTTCGAAGTGCAAGAAGCCGAAATATGTTACTGGTTTTTTTTTTCATAAGGGGAATAAAGCAGTTTGTAGGGAGTCTTGATTGAAAAATAAAGGGTTAATAATGCATCATATTTCAAGGTTAGTCAAGGTGAAGCCTTATTCCAAGGTATTACTGGGAGAGCATAGGTGTCCCTGAGCCACGGAAAATGTAGTTTTTGAAAGTCATGGCTTTCTATTTCATGTAAAATTTTATTTTATTTTTTGAGAAGGGGGGTGATTGTGAGCTTCCGAAGGCTTATGGTTATAATGTCTCAGGAATAAAGGCTCTCCCTTGTGTTTTCTTAATATGGAAAAGAAGACCTGAAGAACTAAAGGGTATGTAGGATGAAGAGCTCCCTGCAAGGGCTGTCCCCTACCAACTCCTTGTAGCTAGGGTGAGGCCTGCTGGGTGCACTGCGGAACCTCCAGGTTAGCTTGGGCTTCTTTCCCTGGTGGTCTGACCCCTGGGGCGTCTCAGGACCAGGAGCTGCTTTAATTCTGGGTACATTGTGAAATTTGCCCTCAAGTTGTTTCTGCCTTCATAAATACGTTTCTTTCCTCATTCCAATTTCATGCTTCTTAGAACAATATTTGCTTTAGGGACAAGGCAGTATGGAACACAATTTGCTCTTTCAACTGACATTTAATGGGACAATACCACAGAGAGAGACAAGCTAGAGAGAGACAGAGACAATGAGAGAAAGAGTAAATGTTTGCCTCTTTCCAGTCACATCCAGCAGAGTATTGATACACTGATTTATGTAGTGAGTTTGTCATCTAACACGGCCTAAGGTGCCCACAATAGACTAAAAATCCACTTTTTGTTCTGTGCTAATACATCTGCTCCTTCCTAGCAATGTAAGGAAATAGCAGAGCTTGTCTTAGTTAGGGAAAGGGGCAGCAATTGCTGTCTCATTTGGAGTGAACGCCTGCATTCCAGCTCTGGGCTCAACATGCACGATGCCCTTGGGGCGAGGGCAGGATGCCCTTGGCTTGCTTTTGCTTATAGGTAGATTTTTACCAAGATGGACGCAGGAGACTCCAGCCTGGCACCTGCTGGAGAAATCATGGCATGCAAATTATTTTGTGCTTTCTGTCTTTTGATTAGTTAACATAATGCAGGCATTGGTATTTAACAAGATGGGCACGATGCCTTTTTTTTCCCCCCATCTACCTATAAATAACCTTTTGAAGGGTAGATTTTTTTTCCTAACTGAAAACCTCGATAATACTTGTACTTTAAACAAGAGAAAAGAAATTTAAAGGGAAAAATGCCGCTAAAGCTCAGCTCCCCTCAGACATCCTGCACACCCAGGCTTCCACCCTAGCTGTTCAGCTTTTTTTTTTTTTTTAATACAAGTCTCTGGTGCATGGGTCTCACCAGATGCACACTCTCAGTCCAACCAAGTGACAGCACAGCAGTAACTGGGGAGATTTTGTTAATATTTCTGAGCAAAAAAAAAAAAAAAAGTAAGGAAAATTCCTCATTTTTCACCTACCCTCCAGGCAGGGTAGGAAGGTTGTACATGCCTTCAGTTATTCTGCGTGCTTGCAAAATGACTTATTTTTCCTCCACTCTGTTTTAAACTGTACCTTCAATCATGTACCTTAGGCTGTCAGGATTAGGTATCTGGAGTCCAGGAAATGAATAGAAATGTTCCAGTTGTTAAAGAGGCCATTGAGAATAAGCTGAGAGCATTCAGAGGGGCTTAGAAAGAAACAAAATGGGGAAGAAACCATGATTCCTGCCATGGGGGCTGCCTTGCTGACTGTGGTACACCAACTCTTCATGCACCTCTTAGGAGCATTCACTGGAAAATTTTCCACATCTCTTGACGTCACAGTCTGCCATTTGACTACTGCTGCTTAGATACCGAATGCAGCACTTAACTCTTGCCCTGCTGGAAGGGAGTGATTGAGGGGGATGTAGCTTCCCTCTTCCTTACTTTTGCTGTCTTTTTGTGGTTCCCCCACCCCACCCCTTCTTCTCTATCAGTAGAAGACAAAAAGGATTATGATTAAGCATTTTGGTGTGGCTTTAGGATGTGCTCTGCTTAACTGCTCTATAGCATAATTGCCCAGAACTATTTGTTCCTGATAGGGAAGTTGGACTTTTAAGCACTTAGAAAAGGCCATATGGCTAATTTCCACAAGTGTGAACCTCTCCCTCTCCAGCCCCCACCTACCACTTTTTAATATGTTTGTTCTGTGGCTTTTCCCCAAGGACTCTGACATTTACTGCATTTGATCTGGATCTTTTTAGAAATACTCGAAGGCTCTTTGAGGCGGTCATAACCGTACAGGCTGCCCGTTCCCACTTTTGCGTTCACACTGATCTGTTTGGCTGGCACAGAATTGCCCAGCGATGCCTAGTACAGCTTGTTACCATACAGCTAATCAGGGAGATAATCCTTGTAAACCAGTAACTGATAG